TCTTTATGTCCTCCCTTGGGGAAATGGTTATAAGACAGTCATGGGGAACATGAATGAGAAAATCACCCTGGGACCAGGGAGGGGAGCTTAGAGAAAAACATATGATGAAAAAGTTCAATCGGTGCAATGGAAGAGAGTGGGAATTTTCCTCCAGTAATGGCTGTAGGACTCTGTCCAACAGAATCATTTCAGACAGCTGATGTCTGTGCACATTAGCAAAGGGGATGATTACATCTTGAATGGCTGAAAATGCAGCTCTTTAATACAGTTGCACCATTTGAGGCCAATGAGCCTGTTAAATATCCCAGCATCTTTTGTCTGAGAGGCAGTTTAGTACTGCAATGCCTACGAGATCTGGGCTTTTCAAGGTAAAAATGGCCAGAAGACTTACTGAATACTTCTGCAAAGCAAATTAAAATAGTATAGTGTCAGCCTATTACAAAAAAACTAATGACACTATCCCAATAATTATTTATTGTATGTACGTTTCCAAGAAATACCCACTTCTGAAGCTGATATTTTGCCAACTGAAAAACTATTTATACTTGTAACCACCAGCATCCCAGCACTTTTCACTTTGATTCTGTTTTATCTGGATTGAACCCAGATGTGCTAAATCTGATTTCAAACTTGAAGGACCACGGTTAGTTTATTGTTTTGTTGTTAATTGCTATATGGAACAATATGTCTTTAACTGGTTAAGACAGAGCCTGTAGACTGTTTTAATTAATGTTCCATCTCTGGCTTCATTTTATTACTTTTTAAAGGGTAGCTAAGTACTAATTCCCTAAATGACAATCATTTTACAGTTGTTTTTTAAGAAGAAATTAAACATTACTGCAAGTTGTATAGTGATGACAAAAATATTAGTCATGCTGATGAAATAATTGTATAATTAATCAGACTGATCAGCAGATTGGTTAGACAACAAAATAATAAAGCCAGTCAGGTCTTGTTTAATTCCAGCGTAAAAATAACATTCAAGTAGAACAGAAGACCTAAACATTACACTCCACAAAAAGTGGAGCCTTTCCATTGACAAACCTAGATCTCACATGTTAAGATATCTGTGCATTTATCAATAGCAACACTTTTGCTAGGCTCGTTTGTTTGTTTGTTCTAAAAAGGGTGCTTTTAAAAAGTTATTTCAAAGCAGTGGAAGCAGTAGTTGGTCTTAACCCAGCTGAGGGCATGACTGATGGCTGTGGTCTCCTGTAGATCTGGTTACTGTCAGTCAGTAGGACTTGGAGAGCTCAAAGGAGATGGCCTCAGCCCAGCACAGAGCCATGCCCAAACAGGACACTTGTGCATCATTTCTTAAGAAGACCTGACATACCTCCTTCTAGTCATAGCATAGCAACGCATTCATCACTCTGTCCTTTTGCTGCACAGCTCCTGTAGAGCGAGGTGAGGAGCAAGAGGTTGTACATGACCTTTTGGGCTCCCATGAACAAGGCCACCTCCGGCAGGTGCAAAAGACTCACAAACTGTCCCAATTCACATCCATTGCTAATAGTCACTCTGGTTATTTTTTCCCTGCAGCCAGGAGCTTAGGGAGGATTCAGGCCTATTCTACTCCTAGCTGTACCAACACAATGGCATCTCTGAAATTACCTGTGCCAAAGAAATCCCAGAGGTCTGTGTTGGGTGGGTTTGTTGTTCTCAGAAGAGTTCGAAGGGGCCAGCACTGGCTCCTGGCTGTGGTCTAGTGGCTCCCATGGGGTTGCAGTTCTGCCCAGCTAAGAGACGGGCACTTCCTAATGTTGCCTTTACTATGTTTAGCCTGTGTTGTCTTAGTGCTGGCTTCCTGCGTCAAAGCAGAAGTTTGCAAACAGTTCATGATGGGAAAAAGAAAAGTGGACACTGAGTTAAAATGGAGGTCTATTATCCCCTGAAAAAGACAGCAGAAGAAAAACCAAGCCCAACCCTAAAGAGACTTCTGACCAAAGGGAACTTGCAGAGTGAGGGCTTGCATCACCCCAGCAGAGTAAAAGCCATGCTAATGAGGGTAGAGTCCTTGGGTGGTAAAGTAGAGGAAGATTCACACTGGTTGAAAGTGTTTTCCTTAAAATGATAACAGTGATACAGTGATATGGCTTTTGTTGGCAGCTTGTGCAACACTTGAATTTCAGATGAAGTTGCAAGTCATTATGAAGTTTTCCAGTACATTATTAATTTTTAATATAGAAAGTGTTTTCCACTGCAGTCTTCAGGACTTCTCTGCAGGTGTGCTAGGTGTTCCCTTTGGACAGATTGAGTAAGCATATTCCTAAGAGATTACGTATTCACATAACCATCATCTGTCAGGTCTCCCTGTCAGGCTTCAGACAGGTAATTCAAGTAACCTTTATACCATATCACTCTCAGGTAGTCCTCACTTAATGAAAACCAGGTGTCTCAATAGTAGTGTGGTAGCTAGACATGACCTGTCTCTGCACTCTCTTCTAGCTCGTTCCTAGCTCCCCAGGAACATACCAGACGAGTTGGTCTTTGTTCATGTGTGTTCACTTAGAAAAAAATACCTGTTGCCATAGCTGTAACTGCAAACTCAGTGCAACCCTATCCTGCAGTGTACAAAAGTAAGGTAACCTTGAGACTTATAAAAGAAGTGACACAGCTCATTAACATTTCCACTTTGTTTCTGACTTTCAGACTTTTTAGAGGAGAATGTTAGAGCTCAGATTAGTGTCAGCACCAAAACTGTTTGCTGCTGGATGAAAACACTGAGAGTGTTAATTAAATGTAAGCTGTACTGGCTGTGCCTTAGTTTGGTTTGAAGTACAGCTGACTTTGTTCTCCTCCCCAGTGAAGTGCCCGTTTTCATATTCAACTCCAGAAGTGCACTGTCACAAAGTATTTATAATAGAGCTTTGAGTTGCAGCGCAGTGCTACATTTTTTTAATATCTCCTCTTTTATAAATTAAAATGAAAGGAAAAAAAAACTTTTAGGATCTTCCTTCTTTGCCAAGTAGCGCTTTGAGCAAAAATTTCCTGCAGTGCAGTAAGAAAATGTTTTAAGACACTCAAAAATACACATCAAATTTCATGTGTTGGAGCCTTCTTTAAATGAGACTGCTTCAGCTGTTTGTTTGTGAGACTTGGACAAGAAGGTGGTAGAAAAATGGTTCTAGGTTCTAATTTAATTTTAAAGGAATAAAGACTTTTATTTGGCAAGTAATTCTTGCTGCAGTGGTCATTTTTTTTTAAGCCAATGGGGCTTTCCGTCTAACCCAGAATCACAATGACCCTGCTATTCTCCTAAGCTGTTCTGTTTATTATTGTTAAAATAAAGCCTTTAAAGCCCTCAGTAAACTTGCAGCCTAATCCTACTGACCCTAATTCTTACTCATGTGCACAGTCCAATTAAAATTAGTTGGGCTAAACGGAACAAATTACAGCCCTTTGGGTTGGCGTGATCCAGTCACTATTTATGCTGTCTGCTGTTATACACACTTGCCGCAGGATTCATTCGGAGTGCTTGGCCTGGAGTAATTATTTTCTTGATTACTTCAGAGCTTAATCATCACACACTATAATAACTTTCTCTGCAGACATTAAAATGTTTCATGCTTTTTTTGCTGAACATCTGCAGTTTCCTTGTTTTGCTGGATTTTCGTATCAGGACAGACTCTTAGCTACTGAAAAATCTTGAAAAGAAAGCTATGCATAACAAGGATAATGCTGCTTCCTGTTATTTCTCTTTCCTAAAAAAAAATTCTTCAGGGGATATATTAAAATGTGTACAAGAGCCAATTCTGAGAATTACTGTCAGTTTCATAAGTTTTATAAATTTTTAGGAGGAACAGGTAGAAAAAAATTGGCACTCTCAGAGCCACTTAGAACAGCCATTGAAAATATATGAGAAAATTCACCAAACATCAAGTAGTTTTCGTTTCTTTGATCACAGCTGTAATATTCCTCAGTAAATTTCATAATCTTCTAGTACTTCCCTACCCTTTGAGTCATCCTCTTCCTTTTGCCACCACACAATTTATGGCTGAGTGATTTCAAGGAATACATGGTTGTGCAGTTACATGAATACATGTTCAGCTCTTTCAAAGAACTGAAAGCCTAGTTTTTGTGAAAATATCTCCAGGGATTAAGAAATGAGGGGGGAAACCAATACAGTTGGAAATTTTTCTAAATAGACAAGGCAAAACAAAACTCTTTACTCAGGCAATAGAGCTTTCTAGTTCTAGCTGTATCACTGTTTTGGCTGCTAGAACACTACAAACACAGGTCCTTACTGAGAGCTAACCATTAGTTTTTCTTATTATTTACTTCTGCTAGGTTGGACTGAAAGTGTTTTTTGGCAGATCGGGCCAGTGGTTTGGAAACAACGATAATGACGGTGACAAAATGTCTATCTTCCATGATCTGGATGGCTCGGTGACAGGTTATCCGGACACTTTCATAGGCAGAGCGGACAACTACTTGCTGCGTCATCCTGGGTGTCTCACTGTCCCACGCTGGAATGGGGTGATGTGTACTGGGAAATTCGCACAGGTAATGGGGAGCAGCTGCAGGCAACATCGCTGGGCATGTCGGGTGGGTGTCCTCAGATAGTCTGCTGAGGGGTGATGGAGTGAAGCCTGGTCAACACTCCATAAGATAAGAGGTGAATAATAAATTTAGTATAATTTTACTCCTCTCAGTGTTATCTGCCTGATTTCCAGGACTCAGTAAAGCTCCTGTAGTGCAGCAGCCTGCAATCTGTGGCTGTAAGGAGCCCTGGCTCTTCCCCTTCCCCTTCCCCTAAAGAAGTTGCAGTTTGAAATTGAACTGGAGGAAAGTTTGCTGTTTTCTAGTTCTTGCTTCCAGGCACTTGTTCACTCTATCATGGGGCTCTAGTGGATAAATCTGGTGAGTCAAACTTCAGTAATGGAAGGTGTTACTTCTCTGGTGCATCCCTCTGTGTTAAGGATAGCGAAACGGGTGGTTGAGACACAAACTCACACTTATTTCTTATTGCCCTTCCAGAACTCACTGGCTGAGGGATGGTCAGTCTTAGGTCAGGGTCGTCTTAAACCTTCACAGCGGTTTTTTCCGAATACTTGAGTTAGAGACTTTAACTGAGATATTAGCACCTTGGTAGAAAGGGTTGCAAATCCCAGGGAACCTTTCATTAGGGAGGGAGGGAGGGAGGGGAGCATGGTAAATGGAGAGAAAATGTGCCCTCAAAATCAGATTGTCGTTCATGGTATGTTGCTCAAATTTCAACAAGACCTTTGTATGTGGATAGATCATACTGTAAATACATGACTCACCCCAGCTTTCACAGTCACCTGTAAGAGATTGCAAGTGGCTCTTCTTGCTCCTCCACTTCTAAAGGATATTAATGTATTTACCAAAAACGTATCTAAGCCTGTTTTAAAACTGCAGTTACTTGGACATCTTGCCAGGTCTCTTTTCTCCTTGTGCTGAACAAGCCAAAGATTAAGACTGTGTGTGGTGGTGCACACAGCACCATGTGGTTTGAGGTTGGAGAGCGGGTACTAGGAGCCCTCATGCAAGATGTGGCTTTTGGAAGGACTGTTATGTTCTTCTGACCCCTGAGAACAGCCCTGCACTGTCAAATAGAGACTGCAGTGGGGTGCACTGCTGGATATGAAAGGCAAGAATGGATTATAAAGTGATCTTAAAAGAAGCTCAGAGTTCGTGAGATATGGCAGGTGTTATTGACTTATTTATTTATTGAGTCCTCTGTGCGCTTGGGAGCATGTTGCAAACTCTTGTCTCGTTGGGAGTCAGTAGACATTGCCCAGACATCAGCAGGTGCAGCACAGGATGAAACTCTACCTGAAGTCACTAAAGACTGGGCAGTCTTAAAATTGCCTTGAGAGGTGAGAGAAGCACGCTGTCAGCTTTCCCTTTTTAACGTGCATTTGCTTCAGCTGCACAGCAGAGAGCAGGAGTCACTATCTAAGTGTCTAGACATTGGATTTATGACCCCTGCTTTGCTATTGACTAGGCAGAAACAGGATTGGACTCCTAGGAAACACTCCCATTGAATTAGGATTTTACCCTTGGCATTCAGTTTTGTTCTGTGTCTCTGGAGAAATTATCCTCTCTGCTCTGGCAACCTAACAGTTAAATTCAGAATTGTAAACAAGTAGGCATTTATATTTTTATTTCTATTAATACACTTTTGGTTATGGTGCTTTACATGGTGAGGCAGTTTTTCCACCATAGAAAATTTCCTTGGCTAGGCTTAGGCAAGCATAAACATTTGCTTCTCTGGGATCCATTACTTACCAGCATTTTTCAACTAATCAACATCCAGCAGGATGAGTAAAGTTCATACTAAATGCTTCAGTTTATGGTTTTTGGGTAGGGAAATATATGTATGTGCAGGGTAGAAGAAATTGGTCCCATGCAGCAGGGTTTGATTTAATTTGGAGGGTATAACTGTTGGAGTATTTCAGCTTAACCCTGATTCTCAGCACCTTGACCAACTGCTGATTTGTTTGTGTGCTAAATTTGGAGTGTCATACTTCTGATCAAAAGCCTAAAAGAGTGAATCCAATTATGGAGAAAGATGGTTTGCTTTGATCTTAGAAACTCTATTACAAAATCTGTTTTTCTTTACCTATTCATGTAGCTCTGGTAGACAAGAACTTCTGTTCTTCCCTAGTGCAAGCAGGTGAAAATGTCCTTTCAGCTCAAGGAAATAGTGACTCCTACATTACCGCTGAACTGAGCTGAAGATAGTCAGCCTAGGGATGGGCTACTTGGCATGGAAAAATGGGATCCAAGTCCTTCAGCTAACACTGCAGGCAAATCCTTTCTGAGCAAAGTGCCTAGAGTTCAGTCAATTCCTTTTTGCTTGGTTTCTTTCATTCACTTTTCATGCTCTTCTTCTCCTGGATGTAATCTGCCCAGGAAAGGAAATACCTGGGGAAAACCAGCTCTTCTGGCAGCATTTCTAGGTCCACAAAATCCTGAGGACAGACTTTCCTGAGGGTGTTTTAATCTGGCAGCTCAGTTTGACATTCCCACCTTCCTGTGGTTGGTTCATGGCCCTTCCTCCTCACTGTTTCCAAGAAGCATCATGCCACCTTCCCCACATGGTGTCCAAGACCTTCCTTCAGCAGGGAGCACAAAAAAATGCCTCATACTTTGACTCTAATGTTGCCTTTTGATACCAAAGAAGGGTTCTGGGACCAGCTTAATACCATGAAATTTACACAAGCATGAACTATCAGGTCTTTTTTTCCTCCTCCTGATTCTGGAGCCTGTAGGGTTGCTGTTGTCCAGACGAGACCAACCCCTTTGCTTTTAAATGACAGCCAAAACTCTCAGGTTGTAATGTAAATAAAGTGAGGCTTTGAGGAAGAATGGTAAGTAGAGGGAGACTCACAGGGAAGTCACAAGAGTTGGCAGCATCACGTCTTCTGGCAATCTCTGTGAGTCACTCAGACTCCGTCAACAGGGCACTGAGGTCCTCAGTGTGCCATAAACCTGCCTTTCAGCTGTTTCAAAGGCCAGTAATAAAAGAAAAATGTAGGGAGAGGCTCATCCCATAGTTCTTTCCATGTAGGTGTGTGAGATTTCCAACAGTACTCAACTGGAGACTCCTCAACACCTGCATTACTTGTTAAAATGTAAATGAGGTTCCTAAACCATTTCTGATTTTTATATAATTGTATGACAAGTCCCTTGGCTCCCACTGGGCAGTTGAAGCTGTGCATTTCTGCTTCCTTGCAGACTTCACAGCAACTCATCAGGAGAGTTGCTACTTTGTTTATAAGCTTAAAAAGGTGTTAGACAGTCATGAGAGACCGCCGCATAGCTAAATTAGTGTCAGTTTTGAATTAACAAAAAATTAATGCCTTGCTATTAGAAAATACTTTAGGAAATGCTGTTGATTTTTCACCAATTCACTTAGTCTCTACCTTACTGCAGGCAGCCGAAATAGAAATTATTCCACTTCTGTTAGCTCTGTTCTTGCAGTGAATACTTGCAATTGCACTGATCCTGCATCTCCAAGTTATAGACCTTCAGCAGGTGTTGTGTTGTCAGTACCTTTGTAGCTGGTTTTGGTACTGGTGCTCCTAAATATAAAGCAAGGAAGAGATGCAGCAGGTAGCGAATGGTGTTTTTCTAAACACAGGCAAAAACATACAATCCCAGGGGATCTGTGATGCTGGAGGATTGTCAGCACCTCACAGACCAAGAAGAAGGAAAAGCCTGCAACATATTTTTTCAGCTAATGGTGTCTGTGTCTGGACAAAGAGGCCCCATTTTGATACTGGTGCACACCAATGGAAAATCAAAGTAGTTTTGCTGATGTTAGTGACATCCTAGCACGTCCTAATGTGTCTTACAGAAAGAAAGAAACATTTTTTTCTTTCCAAAAGAATTTTAAAGTCTTCACTTCAAATTTGCATAGAGAAAATATTTTACCCTGGGAAATTAACCTTTTTTTGAATAGTCAAATAACCAGAAGGGGAGAACTTATCATTTTTAGGTATTTTGCCCCAGCTTGACAGCTGGCAGCACAACAGGACAAAAGCAATGTTAAAGAAACTAGAAAGCAAGCAAAAGTTTTCTCAAAAACCAAGATTTTCTGTTCCAAGACTTTGCATGTTGCTTATCTTCATTCTCGCTATCCAATTGAATAGCAGATCCCCCATGAATTTTAAAGGAACTGATCTTCTCGGTTTCACAATCTACTTGGGAAAATTGCCATGCAAGCACAGGGAAATCTGACACATCTTTTTAGCATGAAGTGTTAAGCAGCTAAAATGACAACTATGTCCATTAAACCATCCAGGCAAGTAGAAGGCTCACGTTTTATAATGTTTTAACTAGCTCTTTTTCTTCTGCTACATTAAGCTGTCGCCACTTCTCATATTTTAAAGTATCTTTGTGACCCACTTTCTTCTCTTTAATATTTTGATAGAACCAACCAAAAATTATAGAGGTGTTGCTAAGGAAAACGGATTTTTCATTCCAGAAAAAAATTCTCGTTACTCTCCTTTTTGCTCCTTTTCACAAATGTTTTGCCCCTGCAAAGGTAGATACAAGGAAAAAAAGTGATAAAGTTGTCCAAGCTCAGTTCAAGTGAGTAAAGGCTGAGGAAGAAAGAGGCCACGTTGTGACATCCCAAGAGCACTATGCTGGGACAGTGGCTGATGTTTCACCTACCTGAGGCCAGTGGTGTTCAAAGGTTTCTTTTTACTTCATTCATCTGATTGAGAATTAAAAGCAGCCTTCTGGTGGATGACTTTTCTGGGGTTTTCTAAAGTAGTCTCTTGGTCTGGGTTGCAGTCCTGAAGGGGTAACAAGAAAGAAGTACTAGGAATGACATGAGTCAGGATCATAGAAGGAAGGTCAGGGATTTCATGGACAAGGATTGGAATCCCCGCTTGTCCCTTGTTCCCTCAAATGAAGGGGGAAGTCCAGAGAAAGGGATGGATGGGAAAATGTGGCGTGCTGCTTTCTGTGCAGCTTAGTGTGCTCAAGAAGGACCGAACCACCAGGACTGTCAATCCAGAGCTGAGCCCAGTTGCTGCAGGAAACATCTCAGATAGTCCCTGCTCCCAGTCAGATTTCTGTTGACTTAGTGGTGCTCCACCTGAGTAAAAGTCTCTTCGTGTAGGATCTAGGTTGCTTGATCAGGGCATTTGCCTACTGTGACCTCCTTTAGTGATAAACATTTTGCAGGATCCATCAGATGTACTACTCTATTTCTGTGGCACTGAAAACCACACCCTTGGTGGCTTGCAGTTCTGGAAGGCGTTCACTCAGTGGTCACTGTTGGTCATTGCAGGAGACAAAGTCAGTTCACAAATATTTCTATCAACACGGAAGTGGCGTTTTTCCTTGTTTTGGTAATTACTGTTTTAGTCGCAAAACAACTGTCACCGTTATCCTTAATGTCAGACCTGTGACTTGGTCCCTAGCCACTGGTAGGAAAATGTTACCAACAAATCTGACATGCTTTCCTCATCATCTAATTGAAGCATACTGCAAAGTCTTCCAGCACTTTCTCAAACTTATTAACAATCACTGTAGTCAGCAGGTTAGGCCGGGCGTAGCACTCTCTCTCTCGCTGTCTCTCTCTTTTTACACAAATACCTTAGAGTATATAGGAATCTTTTGTTCTTGGTAGCCTGTAATTTAGGAACTTTTGAGGCTCACTGAATGCATTTCCTTCCTTCTTGGCTTATTTTGTCACTGATGCATTTAATTTTGTAGTAAATGGACAGCAGCTACCACCTTAATATTCTCTGCTTGCTGGAGACACATATTAGAAGAAAATAATGTCAAAGTTTGCAGTGAAGGACAGAAACTCTTGCCTTTTATCCAGAAAGACACAAGTAGGCTATTATTTTGCAGTATCAGAGTTTATTCCAACCGTTCTTTAGCAGAAAATGCTGTTTTGACTGAGAACAATTAATACATTGGTGGGACTTTAGGTCCAGAAGGACCTTACTGATCATCTGCTCTGACCTCAGCATTTCCCCATCCGGGTGGGGACAAATGAGACTGAAATGTGATTTATTGCATTGCACGCTACTGACTTTCCAATCATGGTTTGAATGTGAAGGGAAAATAGGCTTTCCTCCTTGTTTTCATAGATAAAAAAGGTCTTTTGTCAGACTGTAAAAATAATTTATTCTTCCTTGGTCCATCAAGAATGAGCAAATGGGCTGCTGCTCAGAGATTGTTTGGGGTGAATTACTTGATCAATAGTTCCAGCCATAGAAAAAAGCTTGTGTTTAATGCAATTCTGGGATCCACTTTAATCCCCAAGGGTCTGCAGATACCACTCAGGATAGGCTCTCATCATTAAAATACAATGGTGTGAAAGGGACTGAATACCCAAGAAACATTTACAACGACTTTTGGATTAATTTTTTGACATGAGACCCAGCTTTTTATCTTGAGCATTCAGCATGAGGCGGCTGAATTCAGGGGTGAGGTGCGGGATAGGCAGAGATGGCCTGTCTTTTGGAGGTCCTGAGGAGCTCAAACTCAACACCAGGAGCAGATGCAAGTGCAGAATCCTTCTGGGCTTGAAACTGGAAATGGGAGCTGAACTGGCTAGAAACCCCAACTAAAATAAGCCCATAGATAAACCAGTGAGAGATAGTCTGTTTTTGTGGAGCTTTCAATCTGCGTAGCCAAGAGCAAGAGAAGCAGATAGGGAGATGGGAAGGGCCAAGGTCTCATAGCCCTGCAGTAGAAGGCGGATATCCTGACAGATGGAGTCTCGCCCTCTCTGCTAGTCTTGGCTTGTATCCTCTCCTGTGCTGTTAAAATCTGTTAGGAGACTACTGCCTTCATTTTGATCTACCTCAAAGACAGAAATTGAGTTTAAACATAATTTCACTGGATGAATGCTTATGCAGAAGCTTAGACGTTTCTGAGCTAACATGGATTTTTGCATTGGATGTTTTAAGATCTTGATGCAAAGAGCACTACTCTATACTGTAGGAGCGAAGGAAGCGGGATTATAGGTGTCCTCGCCTGTCCTCAGCACATTTGAAACCCTTCAGGGAATATGACAAGCTGTCTGCTACAACTCTGCATGCTGAGACAGATTTGTATGACTAGCTGTGCATCCTCCTTTTGCACTGGAATTTCACATGGGGGAAACAGATGAACATCACGTGTTCAGTCTTAAAACTAACGTTTGCCACACGCATTGGCCTTATTCTGAGTGGTGGCAGGACAGAATAAGCATACAAATGGAGTGTAGTTTTGTAACTGGTCTGTAGAGTTGAACTACAGGCAAAGGGCATCTGTTGGTCCCTGCACAGAAGAGCTTTCTGTTGAAGCCTGTGGAATATGGTATTCAGTCTGTAAGGTCGTATAGTCAGGCCATCAACAGTTTTAGCCCCCAAAATTTCAGCCTAGTCTGCTACTAGAGAGTGAAGATATGGATTCCATTAGACAACTGGACCTAATTCAAAGCCCTCTGAAATAACTTGAGAGTTTTCTGTATTTTCAATGGAATAAGCCTGTTTTTAAAGCACAGTTATTTGAATTAATAAAAAAGAGTTACTTTGCAATATTTCCTTGATTACACTTCTCCCTTAGGATTTTAAATAGTGAACATTTTTATGGCGCTGTCCAATTCGTATCTCACTTCATGGTGTCCCCACGAATGGCTGCAGATGCTATTTCTGTTTTACCTTTTTATTTGAACTGGAAATGTTTCAGTGACTTTCCAAATGTTCTGAGCTCTTCATTGGCAAAAACCATTTACAGGCAACAATGATCAAATGCACATGTTATGCCTGTGCCTTGCTGGTTTAATGGATATGTTTGTCATTTTCCTTTCACCCTCAGCTTTATATTCAGGCCAGACGCCCCGAGAATCTGACCTTATCCATTGCCAGAGCAGCATACCATTCCCATCCCTTGCGGTTGCAAGGAGTGAACAGAGGAGCACCATACCAGCAGTATCAGCCTGTGGTCATGCTCGAGCAGGCTTATATCATCCAGTGGGACGGCAGAGCACCTGAGGATGTTATACTGTACCCAATCAACTTCAACAGGTACTACCCTATGTTGTTAGAAAATGTTCTGTTTTCAAAAGTTCTGGAGCTTTAACACTTTCCCACGTTATTCACAAGTGACCTTTCAAAAGTCTCAGCAATTTCTGAGAGCGTGGAAGCAAGGTGTTAAGGCTGGCACTTACTGATGCAAAGAGATGCCTCTGCTTTCACTGTATTCCAGCTTTTTTTGATGTGCAGAGAAGTTTCTCTTTCCAGAAAGTTTTGAAACAGAATCCAAGTAAGTTCTGGCCTGCTGTCCCTGAAATCTCTCCAGAAGAGCTCTGGCTCTTGTTCGTTTGTTTGTACTAGTTGCTGCACACATAATTTATCTCCCATATATATAAAGTGCAGAAATACATCAGAATGCACACAGAGCTTTGCATCTTTTGTAATCCAAACACTGTTTCTTTTTACATACAGTTTTAAAATGTCAGGACTCAGTACAGAAGAATTGTTGGCTGTACTGTATTTATTTCCCATGTTTTCTTCCAGCGTTATATAAAAGCAGGGTATACCCATTTTAGATACTGCTTTTTTCCCTTGCACTCTGTTTCATTTTGCATAATTTCATTTATGAGTTTTAGTCCTGCTTTTCTTACTTTAGTGAAATTACTTGTGATTTACACTGGTACAACTGTTAGGAGAGAGTCCTGCAATCCAGCCAGCTTAGCTGTGACAGACATTGCCATGGTTTGCACAGATGAGATGCTGCAAGAGACGGGCACCACAAAAACCTGGCCATGACCTTGGGTTCTGCAGTTTATGTGACTCCTCAGTTATTGATAAAAACACAATACAATAAAAGGTCAGAGGTATGCCATTGAACTCTTACACACAACCCAGCCACACATAGGCTTAGATTTGCAAAGTGGGTTTTAGATAGTTGACATGAAAGAGGTCAGAGGCACCGAGGACATGGAGCAGCACGTACCACTGGTAAACCTGTCGGGTTCCCAAGTCCATCCAGTATTATCCACCAAACCCCAAACACATCCACTGCTCCTCCAGCAGTGTGTCACTGCTGTGGTTTTAGCTTAGGGTAGTTTTGGCAAAAGCTCGAGGTCTATTTGGTTCCCCTGAACTTTGGAACTAAAGAAATTTGGGGAAGAATACTGTCCTTAGTTCCCATTATGAAGCCCCATGGGAATGCAGAGGAGAAGGGCAATGTTTCCTCTTCATACATGTCCGCTATAGTGAGTAACATATTCCTAGTCCTCTTGATTTAAAGATGTAGTAGCTGTAGGGCCATGACCGAGTTGCTGGAGGATCAGTGTGACTCCTGTCACAGAAGAATTATTAGAATTAAATCTCTGTTTTCTGTATTAGCATATCTTTGCGCACTTTAAGGAAAAGGAAAACCCATTATTCACTCACAGACAAATTAAGATTTGCAATTATTATCAATCTTAAATTGATTAGCTATTTCCTTGCAATTGCAGAGCTAAGTCTTCTGCTGGGTAACTGGTGGTTACTCTATCACTGTGCCAATTAATACTTGCCAAAGCTTAGGCCCATGGTCTTCAAGCACAGATTCAAATTTGAAGGCAGCACTGGGTCTTTGGTAAAACTCAGCTTGAAGTTTAGCTTCTGTTCAAGCAGCAACTTAACTACATTTTATTATTGAAAACCACAATGTGGTTGCGGTTCTCTTTGTCTTGTGTGAAACCAGTTATTTAAACAGGGCAAAGATTTGTAGATTTTTCTGATCCAGAAACAGTTGGCAAGGTATGTGTTTTGAAGAACTATAAACAAGAAATATACTGCAATGAAGGAAAACCACAATTTTACTTCATTTCATTTAGAGCATCTTGCTAAGAAGTAATTGAGAATGAAAAGCGTGGCTGCTCTGTGTACACCGCAAGTATGCTGGATGCTAACTAGTGCGAGACCTAAGGCTGATGCAATGGCAATAGTGAAATGTCCAGACTGCCTACAAAAACATGGAGAAATGAGATTCATGTGGAAAGGCAAAGGAATTGAGGTGAAAAAGAGGATTTAGGGTTTTGAAGGAAAACAAGTAGCTGCCTAAGCAGTTCCATGTATGACCTTTATTAAACATTGTATTCCAATCATTTCTGGAATGGAAGAAATCTCAGATTGTCAAACCCAGAATAATCAGAGTTAGAAAGTCAGGGAAGACTTCTGCCTGTCTCAAGTGGCTTTATGTTTTGTTTGTTCCCTTTTAATCCAAAATACTGAATAATCTGGCAAAAAATGAGCTTTTAACATAGTAACATCTGTGCAGAATATGTGATGCAAAGCAAAAGATGTTTGATGAACCTTAACAACAATATTCTAGGATTAATAATTTCAGACATAACCTGAGTGAACAACTAAACTATTTTTAGCCTTGTCATTGTAAAATGATGGATGGATATATCCAGGATGCTGCCTTTGCAGCTAGACAGCCCTCATGCTTCTGGAGTGATTTGCTCTACCCTGGCTAAAGGAAGGTCAGAGGGGAAATAAGGAATTTGACAGAGAGATGTGTACCAGGATTTGGATTTCTAAGGAGGTCAGGCATAGCACTGATGTTGAATTCTTGCATGATTAACGCTTTCCCTGCCTCTGAAGCACTGTAGAAAGACCAAACAGAAGTCATGCCAGTTCAGATGTCTATTAAAAGACTGGAACGTCCGGATTCCTGGGGTGGGCAGGAGCTGGTTGGGATGAATTCACATGACTCAGCTGAAATTGGCAACGCTGCTTTCTGCAAGCTGCAAACCTTGTCCAGCGAGTTCAGAGGCACCGCTCGGCTGGATTTACTCAGTGGAGGAGGACACCAGCTGGAGCAGATCTTTTTCCTTCTATCGTGGACACCTGAAAGGTTGCTGCAGTACTTGTGTCTTCCTTGCACTGATACAAACCGTGTTTAGTGTAGTTCTTCAGTTTCTTCACTTCCATCGAAAGATGTAGCTAAACCAGACAAAACTGCTGTGTCTCCATGTGCTGCCATCTGCGGCCATGTGGCTCAGATGAGCTGTTTAACGCCCACCAACTTCCCTTCCAATGACAGATGTGCTTGTTTGCATTTGTCAGAGTAGCTGTGTCACTAGCTGACTGATGGGCAAATATAAAGCCATGGAGGAGACCTGTAGGCTGTGTTTGCAGGCTGCTGGGGAGCATAGCTGTCTCAGCAGAAATGTTTTTTAAGCTATAGATAGGATTGTCCGTCTAACGGCTAGGAGTTTCCTTGTGAGGATGAGAAGGCAGCTGGGTATTGGTGCTTCTGGAAAGAGGCAATGCAGGACAAGTAACTTCTGAATGTTTTGGCAAGTGAACAGAAGGAGAGCACCGTCTGGAATTTTAATGACCAGGAATGAAGTGTGCTCCAGAACCTGTCCAGATCTGCTGAGGATTTCTCTGATTAGGCACAAAGCCTGCACAAAACCTTCATGAATGGAGACCTCAGACCTCTTCTCCACGAGCTTCATCTCTTTATTGGGCCAGCCCCCTCAGGGCTATTTGTACGTTTTTTATGTTTGGGGAGGGGGGGTTTCTGCTTCACAGAAGTATGAGAATTATCTGTAAGATGGAGGTAAGGGCTTTCTTCAAAATGACTATCCTGAAGCACAAAGGCCTGCAGAGAATATCAAGCTTGTTACAAGAGGGTGGAGAGACTGGTAAACCAGGAGAGGATGGAAAACATTATTTGGTTGCAAGTAAATGCCTCCTTTCAAGTGCTGGAAAACAGCACAAAGATTGGCACTTCTTACAGTAAGCAAAGTCAGAAATTAAGTTCTTCAATTTAATGACCTAGGCTTTGTGCCTGTGCAAATTTTCTAATCGCAGAAGAAGCTAAGGTAAATACTATTATCAAAGGCGCAGCGCTGTTCAGTGAATCAGCCAGGCTTCTTTGTGCTATCAGCACATCTAAAGATAAGAATTAAATATCCTCAAAGCACATATCTGAAGTATAGTGTAATAAGTTGTGTTGTTGAAGCAGCCTGAAAAGCAGTGGCAATTAGATTGAACATTCCTTGGTTTTAATGATCACAGGCAAGTATCTCTATACTTGGTCTGTTAAGGCTCAGAGTGAAGGGTTTTCCCTTATTAGGGCTCTCTACTGTGGTTCAACAGAGAGAATTCAGGGAAATGTAGGCAGTTAATAGTATAAAGAGGGTATTTTTTGTTGGCAGATTGCCACAGTCCTGCAAGCAGGGCCTTTCTTTTGTACTGCACCTCTCCTGACAGATGCTGTCTCCAAAGACAGCACAGGGCAGCCTTCCCCCAGCTCCCTTCATCGGCACCCTCCTAAGCTTTGCCTGGAGCGGTACAGTGAGGCTCAGAATATTGATGTTCTTTCTTTGGTGACTTGTTGCAGGAATTGGATCCTTATGAGAGCCTTTAAAAAAAAAATTGGCAGGGGAGGGCCAAATTTCTTGTCGACAGCAAGCAAAAGGGCAGATGTCTGTGTGTGTGCTTGGGCACGTGTCCAGCCTTTCCCCTGCTGCAGTATTTGTGCAGGGATGGGCACAGGTGCACTGCTCAGCTCAGGTGTTTGCTAGGCTGGAGTTCTGCGCTAGGGCTTGTTATCATATTCACCACTGAATAATCCCAATTATCTGAAAATTCCAGAGCCCGGGATGAGCTTGCATCTAAATTCTTCATTAAAAATAGTGTAACCTTTGGATACTGGGTGATATGAAGCCTCCAGGATGCTGCAACCCATCCAAAGGTGGAGATTTCAGTGCAAGCAAACTTATGCAGCCCATGTCTGCACTGAGACTCAGGGGGACTCATTATATTTGTATTTGTCAGGGTTGTGTAGGTAGGTGTTTTTCCTACGGCTTCTTATTCACTGCCAGTCTGATTCATACTTTCAGCTACTTGTCATTTTTGCGATTACATTCCTTAGCAGTGATAAGGTCTAGAGGAAAACAAAGATAACAAGACAAGGCTAGAATGTGCTTGTTGCAGACTTGCCCAGTTTATGGATATTTCCGAAATTTTTTTTTTTTTTTTTTCAGACAAGCTCTAAATGAGCTTTTCCTCTTGCT